ACAGTTATGGAGAGACAATAAAGGTACTTTGTTTAATAGCCTCAAGGATTCCTCTAGCAAGGGAGATCATTAATGTTTCCTTATTTTAAAAACAACCAAAAAAAGAAAACCCAAAATCTGGCAGATGTTGCTTATGATGAGAGATGTGTTGGCTGCGTATTGCAGTTGTTCAGATTCAGGAGCTGTACTCAATCCCATTACTGAAATCTATTTTTTGGTTTTTTGACAGCTGTTTTTGCCATTTACTTTAAAAGCAGATGGGGAAAATGCAAAGAAGAGCTGTCAATTTTATTACCATGTATAATCAGCATCTGTGCAATACATCAGACTCATTTCACAGCTTACACTTTTTCTCTGTAGTAAAATTCTTTTGGGATTTCTTGACAACTTTCTTGAAAGATTTTTTGTAAATTAAGAGATACTGGAATTAAAAGTATAGATTAATTAACTGCTAAAGCCACTATTCTGTCACCCAAATTTACTTAATCAAGATGTTATGATTGCTTAATTATTAAATATATGTCAAATTTGCTTCTCTATATTCATGTTTTCTTAAGAGAGGTATTTTATTTGATTTTCATATTACAAAATGCTTTTCTATACATCTCTGATCCCTTTATATGCATTTAGCTGCAGCACATCTCTCTGTATATTTTTTTACCATTCTCTACTGAGCAGGCTTAGTATCTTACCCCATCTGCATGATTTAAAGTAAAAATGATTCTGTAGAGAACAGGGTGTTCTCCATTCTCAGTCTGCCCTCTTTCTTGGTGCAGCAGTTGTTCACAGAAATGACTTTTTATAGTGGGAAAATAAGCCAGTTTAAAAGTGTCAGTATGAATAAGAACGTTGTCTGTCTCTGTAAGTGCGGAAGTAGTAATCAGTAATGGTGTGCTGCAGGCTTATAGCACAGAACAGCATCCTCCTGGAAAGTGTCAAGTGATTTACATGTCACAGGGCTCTCTGGGGACCCTGTGGGAAGAATCTGTCTACTGGCTGGGGACCTACTTTGATTTGATTTGATTAGGTTGGAAGTCACAACTGCAGAAGCACCTTTGTTTCTTAGAATAGTAAGTGGTTGTACATTACAGTGTCTGCAGTGATAAGCAGAGGGGAAAGATTTCCAAAGAGAAATGTTCACAGTACATTTCCTAGATAGGAAAGATTAGGGAATAGTCTTCAAAAAAGGTTTCAACTAGTTTGGCAGCATTAAAAGAGAGTAAAACACTTATGTATCGATGCAGGACTTCTTTGAAGTGGAACACTAAAAGGAGATGGAGACTTAATATGAAAACATTAATTAGTGTTTGTGTGGTGGTGGGCAGAGTACTTTTTTTACATGGGGCAATGCAAGCTTTGATGAAGAGTGTACTTAACCTCTTCCTCCGTTATCTTAGCTTATTAAATATGCTACTAAAATTGACTGTGACTTTTGAAAAAGAAACCACCAAGGCACTGTTTATGATACATAGATGTTCATTTATAGGAAAAAATGTCTTCTGGAATGACTTTGAAAGGAGTTGTTGTGAACAAAATTTAATACAAATTTCATGGAAAAATACTGACTCAAGGTGGTTTTTTTTGTTCTTTGGTGATATAATACTACTTCTGTCCAAGTCATCTGCAAGCATTTAATGACTGACTTTTTCAGTCATCAATAACTACAAACCATCCTATTCCAGAATTAAAAATATTTCATTTAATATAGGACACTAATATAAAAGAGTTTTTAATTACTATGAGTTTTATCAGTAGAATGCAAATTTCCTTAGATATTAGTCTATCTGTACTTTGTGAGTTGGAAATATATCTAATTAGATTTTCTCTGGAGTAGTCGATACAAATTGACACTCTATCAAATTCAGCTGATTCTATGGAGATAAAGCAGAAAATCAGATGATATAACAAAGCTTGAAAATGTGGATTTGATTTGCATTCTTTACAGACAAAGTGGAGTATAAAATAATTTTATTCTGTATTTATATAATCTTATTCTTCCTGTTTTATGTTAATCTCATTTTCTAAAATGTGATGTGTTTCAGCACCTACACTTGAGCTTAAGATAAGAAAATACATACTTAGATGATCCTACTAAAACAAATCCTTTATCCAGAAGAGCTTGCAAATATATCCCAGGATTGCACATTCTGTCTGCTAGAATTTAAATGTCTCACTAAAAGGAAATGTTAGGTAAAATTGACGTAAAGTTCATTTTCATATCCACCAGTGAATTGGTGCTAGACCTGCTGGGAAATTAGCTCTCAGAAATATGCTATAGAAAGGCTTCTTTGGGTTTTGGACCCGTGTAATTTGTAGCCAAATTCAACAGCAGTAAATGAAATCTGCTATTCCATCTTCTCATGAAAAATAGTCTACATGGATCCTGTAAGGTATTTCAGTTTATGGAATTAATAAGTATTTTTAATTAAGAGAATAAACTGGAAAATACATTGTGTCCTAATTTAATACTAGACCTTGAGTTATCTCATGCCTTATCCTCCCTAGTTAAGATCATTATATGTTTCAAGATATGTGAATGTAGACTGGAGCCCCTCCTGCAGTAGGTTACAAATCTCTACATCTTGAACTAATAAGCAGCTTTTATAAATGAAGCTTCTGATAGCCTCATGTGGGAGCATTGCTGCTGCAATATCTCTTTCCCATATACCCAGAAGCATTTTTCCCTCTCTGGAAATCCAAGACCTCCTCTGTATTATGGCCTAATCCTTCCCTGTCCTTTTTACCACCCCTCTCCTTTCCAGTTCCCTGCATATGCCTTATGTGTTTCCCTGTGCAAGATAGTTCTTTGGCTGGTTCTCAGACTCCACATCTGATCAACGTCAGGTTAGGCTATCCCTGGTGGTTAGGCATTTGCTTTCTGCCAGAGTGTTTGCCAGGAATGGATGGATGGCAACCATGCTCTTCATGGCTGGGTTAGTTTGGTTTCTCAACTCCTTCCAGTTACTAAAATGAGGAAGTTTTATTATCTGGAAGGTTTACCTCTCCCTGATTTAGCCACCTGAGTGGGAAAACTGAATTAGATGATAACCATGCGTAATCTTTATTTTCTGGGAAAACTAAGCTAAGATTTTAATGTAAGGACAGCAAATACTTGGGTGTGGCCTAACTTCGTGTTGGCCTTACTTTCAGCAAGTTTTTGCAAGTGTTTGCCTTTGGCATCTAGCCAAGTGTATAGGAGAGAAGTGACCTTTTTGTTTCCTAGTCAGTACTCCCAGTCTGATGCAAAATGTGTTTCATGGGTCCAAAAGGCTCAGCCAAGGTGAAGAGAATGAATGATCAACGTGTTTTTGGAAAAAGTTTTCTGTCTTGTCCCATGGGATTCCCCTCAGTGTTTAAAATACACCTGAAATCAACAGAAGGGTGACAACATTTTCCTAAAAAGGACTAAAACAGTTGTGATTAAGTGAGATTTTCTTCATCTAGATGATTTTTCTGGAGCTTTGGGGTTTTTTTCTTGAGTTCATCATAAGCTATTCAACAACAAATTCTACTAAGTTAAAACATGATCAGAGTAAAGAGTTTTTAAGTATTAAGTATATAAATATTTCTACCTGTAAGAGACTTCATGAAGGTGGCAAAAAAAGCTTCAGTTCAGCTGCTTCAATTTCAGCTTCAGTTCAGTCATGATCTCTTAAGAAACTTTAGAAAAAGGAAGAATTTCTCTTAGAATATTTCCTTGGAAAAGCTTATTCAAAATATATGTGTTTATTAATTATACTGCACACACACAGAGACTCGTGTCTCAATCAGAGCATAAATAAAACAGAAGACAGTTAATAGGACAAGAGTAAAATGGAAAAATAGGCCAATATTTCTGCATCTAGATTTTAAAAGGCTCTTTCACCTTAAATTCTGAGGCAAGGTCCTTGCATGTTAGAATAATGCAGTAAACTTACGGATTTTTAATTAATTTTATTAAGAAGATTTTGGCATTGTCTTTATGTACATAAATTATAAAGTTGATATCTGTGCATCAAAGAAGGAAATAGAGAGCTTATTAAATAAGCATAGCATGTAGTTTGAATAATTCTGTAGTACTTTCTGGTATAATGGTTTCTTATGTCCACATGGCAGGAATTTTCATTCCCATAACCATGATGAACTGGGGTGTGTGAGGAAGTAACTTCTGTTTTAAGTGTGTTCATCACTGACTCTGTTCTGACTCATTGGCACCTGGGCCATAGGTCTCTATCTGCACGGATTTCCCATATGCAAACCTCTACAAGTTCTAAATCATCTTGGAAAATGGTTTCCATCAGTAAATTCCCACTTTACAGTGTGGGAATTTTCAATTGCAGTCACTATACGTACAAAGCAAGTGTGGCCAGTAACATTAGCAACTAGTTGAAATTAAAATACTTGTTTAAAGGAGTCAGAAGTGTGGCTGTGTAAAACTAGTATTATCTCTTAAAGAAAATATTTTGTGTACAATGTCTAAAGAAATCATGTGCATCTTTAAATATGGCAGTTGCCTCATTGCAGGTAGCAACATATATTATCTGGTCGTTAGGAACATTCCTCTCCCTATTCCCATGGTTTGCATATTTCAATTATTTAATAGAAATCTTTAGGCATTTCTGAATGAAAATTACAATGCAAATTGCTATATGTGAATAACACGTTGGAAGTAAATTAAGACTAATTCAAGACTGAAACTTTTGATGACAATTCTGTCTTAAATCTTAGAAAAATCTTGTATGCTCTGAAAATAAATTTTCTTTAAATATAAAATCAAGATTTGGTTTTAGTTTACAATATTACTCTCTACAGGTTAAATGGTTTGGCTGCTGGGCTGGTGAGGTGTTTATTTGGGTTATTTATTTTGGGGTTTTTTTTTTTAATGAAAGAAATAAAAATTATACTGAAAAACAAAGAAATTGTCTTCTTTGTTGAAATATATCCCTTCCAGTTTCTTATAGGCTTTAGATCTTTGTTTATCTTGGGGGTTGTAGTTTTATGATGTTGCTGTTATTTTGCAGACGGTTAGAACAAAATTCAATCAAGGTCATACCTCCTGGAGCTTTCTCCCCCTATAAAAAGCTTCGAAGAATGTAAGTGCCAAATAACTTACATTTATTTCCATATTTCTATATATATACATATATCAAGATAAGAAACAAGATGGTACAGGAGAGCTGCAGTTTATGTGTGAGCACTTACGAAAGTTTGACTGCTAGAAAGAAGGTGAAATGATATGGCAACCATATTATTGAGACCATATAGCATCTTTGTCATATTAATAATAATTGGGTTTTTTACTAAATATTGAAATTGTTTAATGTGCTTCTGCATAAAAGCTGTATGTTACTGTAGTGAAAATTCTAGTAAAAAAAAAATTAGGATAATTTCAAAATATTTTTGAGGCTGTATAGCTCTAGGGTTTTAGCAAGCAGAGGATTTTTTTAAAATATACTTAAGCAATTAGGAAAAGTAAATATTTTGTCCTTTTTTTTCAAGCATTTTGAACTATTTTTAACGATGCATTTTGTTTCAGTGTACTGGCAATTTTAGTGGTTTTATATTAAAATTCTTTGGCAGTGTCTCATGTAAATATTTCAGTTCCTCTCTACCGTCCATGCTTAATTCTAATTACATATTATCTTAATTATTTTGAAAATATCTTGAATAAATTGAATCAAATTTTATTTGTTTCAGTGACCTGAGCAATAACCAGATCTCTGAAGCAGCTCCAGATGCTTTCCAGGGCTTACGTTCTCTCAATTCACTGTAGGTATCTGTTAGACCTGTAAGCAGAAGCAAATTTCTCATATTCTTATAGTGAAATTATTTTGGCCTTTTGGCTCCGTGCAGAATTTTGCTATACATTCAGTCCATTCTGCAAGTTGTAATAATAATGTCAGAATGATAGTGGTAATTGAATACTCGTTTACAGCTGGACACTAATAATGTATGGGGTGTTTTTTATAAATATGTTCATGGCAAAGAGTTGAACAAAACCAAACATGTCTTTTATTCCCCGGTTAGTTGTTCTTGCAATCAGCAAATCCGTATTTCGGGGTCCCTTGGTAAGCCTGTAATCAGTGAGGTGCTGATTCTGCAGAGATCCCTTTGGGTTACACACCTTTTGGGAAAGCCTGCGATCCAGCTGCCTCACAGGAACACAATGATATTGCAAGTATTAAGTGGTTGCTACTAAATTCCTTTCAGGAAAATGGGAATTTCTCTATTTTTGAAGTCAAAATCCCATAACATATGCCTTTCATAATGGTAGTTTTGTTTGCTTTATTTCCTGGTACAGTGTCCTCTATGGCAATAAAATCACAGAACTTCCAAAGGGACTATTTGAAGGACTCTTTTCTCTGCAACTGCTGTGAGTATTTTTTTTTATTATTTATTTATTCTATTTTGGGATCATTCAAAAGGGTAAACATGATGAGAGATTTATACCAGAATAAGAGCTGGCAGGAAATCCCATATGTAAGATCAAAGTATGCTAAAACCAAATTATGCTAAAACCAAAAGAATCAAGACTGTTGTAGGCCATCTTGCCATTCTTCCACAAATGTGATCATATCAGTTAATGTTTCCTAAAATGAATAAATGAATGAATAAAATGAAATTATTCTCCTGTGTGGAATTTCTAAGGATAAAACTCATAAAGATATGATACACTGTAAATGGCGAATAGGATGTATATAGTTGTGTGGGAACCATGGAAGGAACATTTTGGTGTGTTTTATAAAGAGAAAATATATAGTGCAAATGCTATGAAATTGCGTTTCTAGTTGTACCCATGAAAGAACAGTATTGCACCACAGTTTCATTGATGACTTCTAATGTTTTCTAACACCTTGTGTGATTCTTTGAATGTGTGAACTTGAGCTGCTACTTAGTTTAACACTTTGGAAATTTCCACATGTAACCTTTTAAACCACTGCTGTTTAGATTTTATACTGGAATAGAGTACATCATTATGATAAGTTTATCAAAGATTATTAATATTTAGCAGAAGAGGCTGTGCAGTAGGTGTACTGTGCAAAAGAAATGTGTTAAATAGACCATAGAACAACAGTAGTGTTTTTGAAAGAACTTGTCCCAGAATAACTGACTTGTTGAGTTAGAGTCTTCTTAAAGAATTTAAAACATCATCACACATGTTTAGAATTATCTAATGTCCAGACTTCACCATGAAGGGGTTGGCAAAATGTATATTAAGAACAACTAATTGAAGATGTCAAAACAGTAAATATATACAAAGAAAATGCAAGTTCTAGCACCACCTAGAGGTGTGCATTTTGATTTACTTTAGTCACAAAAATAGTATAGTAGTGGGTAGGATATGCTTTCCTGTTTTCCTTTAAAGATGTTTTAGTTACAAAATATGTTTCAGATCTGGTAAAAATATAAAAAAAAAAGGTAAAAGACCTTTCCAAGCTCTCAAGTCTGCATTAAAAAAATGTCCATATCTTAATATGCATTGTATAGATACTACATTTGTGTCTAAGTAAATTTCTACTTGTGTGGCAAAACTTTCTATCATTTTCAAATCCACCATTTCATTCCATTTCTGTGTCAAAATGGAAAGAAGTAAAAAATATTTGGTTATAAAAATGCATCTAAAGGAATGGCTTTTTTTTTTCCTCTTCAAAAGGGCTTGGTTTAGGTTGGCTTGTTTGTTTTAACACTAAAAGTCTGGGACGTACAGGGAAGAAAAGGTTCCCTTTGAAGATGCAGAGGAGAAAGGATCCAAGACAGATTTGGATATATTCCATGCCACCAGTTTTTACTACAGCTCTGTTAATGTGGCAGCATGCTGATTAGTAACATATAATTAAAAGTGCCACTGCACATCTCTTCCAGCTAATGAACACAGTGTTCAGTTCCTTTTTTGTTTATTTATTTGGCAGAAGAAACTAGTTTTCCTTGAAAATACTCAATTTTTTAGCCTTGTTTCTCTGCACAGTACACAAATACCACACAGATGTTCTACCAACACATGCAAGAAATGTGATTTTAGCTTAATAAATGTAAACATTTCACCTCCAAGGTTTAAATATGTAGGAATACGCATAACCTAAATAAGATACTTAATTTCCTTAAAATTCCTTATGTCACTGTCAATTTATATTTGTTACTACATTTCTTGTTCTGGTTGCAAAGGTGCACAAAGATGTCTGTGAAAAATGCTGAAGCTGTGTCAAGGAGCTATTCCTTTCAGTTTTATTACTATCTTCCATTAAACAGATTATTGAATGCCAACAAGATTAATTGTCTGCGAGTAGATGCATTTCAAGATCTGCACAACTTGAATCTTCTTTCTTTGTACGACAACAAGCTTCAGACCATTGCAAAAGGCACCTTCTCACCCCTACGTGCAATTCAGACCTTGTACGTATGTTCTTGTTTATGCTTTCCTCAAGTATGACTTCATAGTCTCCAGTGCAGTAAAAGCACTGGCTACTGCTGAGACCAAAGGGAAATAATGTGTGATATTATTGGTTTTTTTCCTCCATGAAAGGCATTTGGCTCAGAACCCATTTATCTGTGACTGCCATCTGAAGTGGCTGGCGGATTATCTTCACACAAACCCCATTGAGACCAGTGGTGCCCGTTGCACCAGCCCCCGCCGTCTGGCAAACAAAAGGATCGGCCAGATCAAAAGCAAGAAATTCCGCTGCTCAGGTAATTTTCTTACTTCAGCTGCTATTTTTCCTTTATTGGCAAAAAAAAAAATTAGTGGTTATAGAAGTTCTAATGAAAGCAGCTGTCTCTCTACAGAATTATTAAACGTCACAGAATTTTTCTTTTTAGTTCATTGACTGAATAGAGAGAAATCTGGGAAGTCGTAGACTATTGGATCACGGAACATTACTGCAGTTAACATACTTGGCACTATTTCTGAGTAGCATTAAATCTAACAAAATAAATGTAATATATAAAACTTCAGGATGAAATGCTAAAGTTATTCACTACAAGTATCACCACCATAAATCATTTCTTTAAATTTCCACAGGGCTCTGGAATATGTGAAAGATCTAAAAATTTCTAAGCTAAATATGGAAACATAACATATTCCTTTTATACAGGGAGCTTGCTTCATACTGAAATTTACTGTTTTCTTTTTCTAATCTTATTCCATTTCCTACTTACATTTCTTTAAATCCTAACTTTTGTCATATGGTAACCAGCTGTTCCAGGTGCATTTCACAATCTACAGTTTATTCAGTCTCAAGTGCAAATACCAGATGAAAGCTGTTTCATTATCCGTGTTCCGGATACATTTATGACTATTCACACTTTGTTGTTTATCAGCTCTCATTGTGAATACGCATTTTTTTCACTAAATTACCTGTAGTTAACTGCAGTCCATACTTAATCTAATAAAACTCATTCTTTGCTTGCTGACATTCAGGTGCATCTTCTATTTTTTTTTTTCTCTTTATTTAGCTAAAGAACAGTATTTCATTCCAGGTAGGTTTGGCTCTGCAGTAAGATTGACTAACTGCAGATATTCTCTCCCTTTCACCCCAAAAGCAAAGTTTGTCATAGCTTTTAGGAAACTGATGCATGTGTATTAATATTAGTCATTACCTGTAGATATACATAGTTTTCCTTAGTAGAATCCTAGTAATTCTGTTTTCTGAATATAAGAGCTCAGCATGCAGCTCCATTTACCTTTTTCTGTCTCACAGATTTGCACACAACCTACCAAAATTATACGTATACTTAAATTATTTAGAAGGTTGCACCTGCTAGTTCATATTTTAACTGACGCTTTTACTTACCCTGTACCTTGCCTTTCTGCTGCTACTGTTTTTAAAATGTAGCTCCTGAGCTGCTTTTAAACACAGGAAACCATGCTGCCATCAAAGAGCTAGCACAACTTTAAAGACTAAACATTCTACAAATGAACGATTTCTTGCCTTGCTTTCATGCTCTACGCTGGCTGCATCTGCTGCTTGCTCACCCTCCTTTTGTTTAGGAAATCACAGTGGAATGCTTGGAAAAGAAAGCTGATATTCTTAATTACAGGCATTCTGTGGTCACATGCAAACAGTGAATCAGAAATGCTTTCCATTAAAGAAAATATGACTTAAGAGTTGGCGTGAAATAGCAATTTGCACACTGCTTTAAGCTACAATGTCTACGATATTTTTACAAAAGACTTACCAATGTTGCCCCTAGCTCTTTGAAATATGGATTTTTCTTTCTTTTACCTTGCTTGTCAGTGTGTCTACTGTTTTGTTAATAGAAAAAAAATTATTCACTCACATTATATTCATAACAGATTATAAATTAAAAAAAAAAGGGAGTAATGCCTCTATTGATAAATTACAGTATGTGATTTGCAATCAGGATTTTCTGCCATGGTTAATATCTAGAAAAATATTTACAGTAATTGATTAGGACACCAGTGCACTTCTTCTTTCAAGTACTACAGGTATATCATCATTCTGCAGTCATCTTAGTTGTTGTCTCTTTAGGTGGTATGTTTAACAGCTCTTCTCCAATGCTATGTGATGTAACACTTAAATTTGCAGCAGTCATGTGAAGTTCTTCATGCCCTTATACTAATATGAATTATAAAAACTATATTAGTTTGAATACGAAAAAAGACAAAATGCAATACAAAATAAGGCAGCAATTTGTCAGCACTGGCATCCACAAAAACGTGTTTTAAAGCAGCATAAAACAGGGTGATTCAATTTCACAAACCTGTAGTACCACTCAATTCCTTAATGTGTAGAACAGCTGTATTCCTGCCACAGAGGGACTTCTACTCAACCTTGCCAGCACAACATTTGCTTGTGAGTTAGAAGTGTTTTCTTGCCAGTAAATGTCTTCACAACCTGGTTATAATATGGCCACTCATGCAGTTTAGGCTTATTTATATACCCTTTAAAAATTACTATTCCTGGGGGAGGGCAGGGTGGGGGAGAAGAAGAAGAAGAAAAAGAATTAAATTTTAAAAAATGAGCTATATAAATGCTTCTTGAAATACAGCTTCTGTTGCTTTCTCTATCAGGTTCTCAGGGAGATGCTACCTAAAAATAATTTAGTTCTTGAAGGCATTGTCCCTGAATATTTAATTCTTTAAACTGCTAACAGTGATTTACTCTGGAGAAAAAAAACCAAACATATTTGTAGACTCTTTTACTGCGTATTAAGAAGTGCCAAAAACCACTTCTTTATACTTAGGTGGATACTATAAAATAATCTTAGTATTTCTTTAAACACCTAAATATTTTTAGTATTTGTTTTAAACATGTCATTTAGAGATGTTGTCCGCAGACACTATGAAGTTCTAGTACAATTTCATTGTAGTAATTTGGAAGACTAAAGGTTTGCCGGTATTAAAGCATTTATTAGAAAAAATATAATTTATCTGTTACCTCATAGAAGTACTCTATGGTAGTTTCATCATATGGATTACTAAAACATTTACAAGTGGTAGATAAAATAGTATGTGATGACTGTTGGGTTTTTTCCCCTCCACTGAGCAGTCTGTTTCTCCTACATTTGTTTGGTTTATCAAGGATTTAAGTGGCATATTATGTATATTTGACTTGATCCTTGTGGATCTTTTCCAACTCAGCATATTCTGTAACTCCTATATACGTTCAGGGAGTGACTTTTAAAGAACACATTCAAAATAGCGAAGAATAATTAATGGGAGGCATGATCATCATCATCCTATATAAAATCTGTAATAAACCCCAGTCTTATCTTCATTTTTAAATGGCACTCAAAATGAATTATTCTTTCTTTCTGCTGAAGACAATGGCCCTAGCACCATCTTCTAATTAAATGAAAGTTGAGAACATGAGATCTTAGTTCATGTTTTTGTCTTAATTGGCATTACTCTGTCTTTCTTTCCTTCTTGGCTATCTTTACTTTTTCAGGAGTTCACCATTTTGGCTGTAAGTAAAGTTCAGTGTCTGAACTAAATCACAGTGTACCTCCCAGCCCTGATGCACCTTCTACTAGTCTCAGTCTTTTCACCTTTGTCCAAGAAGAACCCACAGGTCCTTTTGGCTTCTCTTTGTTTTCTTTGTCACCCACCCTCAGTTCCTTACGTGATGTTTTTTCCTGATATGTTTAGGATGTTTTCTTTGACTGACTCTGGGAAATGGTGGAGGAAACTTTCAATGTGGTTCTTTTTTTTTTTTTTTCCTTTTTTCCTTTTTTTATATATATTGTATTTTTATTTAATCTGTGACAGTGATACTGTTACCGTGGCACTGGACATTCAGTAATAAGAATGCCATGTCATGTAAGCAAGTATTAAACTTCAATTGCTTCTGTAATTTATACCTACTCCTTCCTCTTTTCCCTTGCTCTTATCCTTGGCCTATTGGATGCAGTTTTGATAATGTAGCGAGATTTTCTGTTGTGCTTGATCTAACCATGTGGTTGTGAGGTATGAGTAAAACATGGTTCTGTCAAGCACCATGGAACGTCACGCAGCTTTCTACAGCATGGCAAGCTGCTGAGGCTTAAGTCAGGATCACACATTTTTTAAATTAAAGCTGAAAACAGGGCTTTCAACTTATTTGTTGAGATGATGTGGAGTATCGGGACTATAAAAAAAAAAATCACAGAGGTTAATGAAGTCCAGTCAACAATACAAATTTGTAACCAGAGAAAGAGAAAAGGTGACATTCAGGATTTATTTATTCTTGATACAGAGAAAGAAAACAAATTCTAAAACAAACAGTGGTATTTGAGTGATTAGCTATAAACAAGGCAAGTTTGGCTGACAACACAATCAGCAGAAAGTACGGCTGTGAAAAGCTCAAGTTAATGTTATCCTGCTATGTGAAGTTGGTCTCAGTTTCTTTTTCCAGCATATCTTAAGTCCCTATATTTAACCCTCTCTTGAAGCCCTTGTGTCTGTTCAGTATCACAAAGTTTATCATGCATTTCCCAAGTTGCCCACCCGTTATCTGCATTGCAGATGTCTTTTCAACCCTCTCACAAGAAGCAAATCTTATACTTTATTGACTTAGTATCTGTGTTTTGACTTGAATCTTCTACAGGCACTGAAGATTACAGATCCAAATTAAGTGGAGACTGCTTTGCAGATTTGGCTTGCCCTGAGAAATGTCGCTGTGAAGGAACCACAGTGGACTGCTCCAATCAGAAACTCAACAAAATTCCTGATCACATTCCCCAGTACACAGCAGAGTTGTAAGTTGAACCCATAATAAAGGATTATTTACTTATAGAGAAACAAACTAAAATTTTTAAATATAAAACCACAGCTTTCCTTTTTTTGAACAGTAAAAATTGAAACTAACGTCTGTGGTGCACTTCAAAGGACTAAATATTCATAAAAATTATTTATGCATTATTTCAATACCATGGAGCCTTAAAAACCCATGATAAAGATACAAAATAGCTATTCTATGTTTCTAGTTCTTCAGGACCTGAGCAATCCACTTGGGTTTTTTTAAAGGTTGTGGGGTTTATTTTGATTTTAACTGCAGGAGAAAGTAGGGCATCCAGTAACCAAAGAGGTCCATCTAAAAAAGTGTTACCTAGATGTTTAAACAGACAGAGACGATTATTTTTATGCAAAGCATACATTACGTTTGTTGGCCAGGAAAACAGAGGAAGATAAAGCAGACAAATAGAACAGAGTTAAGAAGAAGAGATAATAATATAATGAATAGAGATGGGGGGAGAGGAACTCGGAGATTATTACTTGCTTAATAAGTGTCATGTAGGAATGATTTGTAGGCATTACAACTGAAGTAATCTTCGAGGAGGGAGTGAAAGATAAAATTAAAACTGTTTTACAAGGTTTATCCACGTGCAAAGAATAGTATAAAAGGGGATGAAGAGATGGTTGAAGGATTGGCAGAAAGGTAGATGAAAGTGGCTGTCATTGCAGAGCAAAGGTGGAAGGAAATAGTTGGTTTTCCTATGAGATTCAGTTTAAGGAATAAGGCAAAATGTTGAGTGACAAAAAAAAAGGTACCTTCATTTGGCATAGTAAAGCAGTATAGAGATGTGCAGACAAGATTATTGTGATCAGGATGTCACCTGCAGGGGTGAGATGGGCAACAGGGTTTCACACCTCTTAAAAGAGCAGTCCACACTTGATATCAAAACAACACTGTGGCAATCAGATATGAAATAATGAGACTGTTCTGGACAGGAAAAGGGATTTAAAACAGAAATATTTTTAAAACACGGATGGAAACATTTTTCTGTCTCTAAGCTGGGAGAAGGAGTTTAATTTAGTAATTTTCTGTGCTGGTTTTGGCTGGTAGAGTTAATTTCCTTCACAGTGGATAGTGTGGGCTTATGATTTGGAATTGTGCTGAACTTAGGGTTGATAATATAGAGATGTTTTTGTTATTGCTGAGCAGAACTGACACAGAGCCACAGCCTTTTCTGCTTTTTGTACTGCTGTGCTGGCAAGGAAGTTGAGGGATGCCTGGGAGATTGGGAGGAGACACAGCCAGGACAGGTGACCCAAACTGAACCAAGGGATATTCCACACCATGTGACATCGTGCTCAGTATATAAAGGGAAGAAAGAAGGAGGAAGGGTGGAGCATTTGGAGTGATGGTGTTTGTCTTCTCAAGACACTGTTCCAATTGATAGAGCACTGCTTTCCTGGGGATGGCTGAACCTGCCAGCCCCTGGAGAACAGCAGATTAGTTTCTTGTTTTTCTTTGCTTGTGTGCATGGCTTTTTATTTCCCTATTTAACTGTCTTTATTTCCACCCTTGAGTTTTCCAGCTTTTATCCTTCTGGTTCCCTCCCTGATGCCGATGGTGGAGGAGAGAGCAAGTGGCTGTGTTGAACATGGTGTCTTGCTGGGTTTAAAACACAACATGTTCTAATCACAAATCCAAGAAAAAAAAAATGTATATAGTCCTGTGTGAGGGGAGAAATACATTTTATGTTATCTGATACTTTGAGACAAAATTGTTAAAGATAAAAGCTGATGGGATAGGTAACAGGTTAAAGTGTAGAAGGAGATCATAAAGTCGTGGTTGTATAAATGAAGTTACTGAACCAATAGAAGAGGAATGGTGTTGTTGAAATTATTAAGCATGCATTACTTTGATATTTAGGAGGAATCATGTTTAATTGTCTCTTCTCTGAAGAAATAATAACCTTAATTTAGCATTTTAATTGTTTTTAAATTAATTTATTTACATGTCAAAGATATACTGTCAGGTGTTTTCTTTCTATAATTATGGTTCCTACCAGTTAAATTCAGAAGGAAATAATCAAGCCTCATCTACTCTATATCCTAAACACTCAAATATCAGTCAACAATTTTTTTTTTACTAAATATTTGGTTACAGCACTTCTTTCAGAAAATATCTGGTCTTATTTCACATTGTTAGTGGATTAAAAAATCCACCATTCCCCTAAGAGTTTTACAGGAGCTATTCTATTTCACTTCTGTTAATTTTTTTTTAATGGGAACTTTTACTTTGAGATGGGTTCTATCTCTCTTCAGTTTCCATCATTGCTTCCTTTATATTGTTTGCCATTAAAGTCCTTTTCTTTCCAGCACTCCATCCAAGTAAAATGGTGTTTAACTGTAAAAAAGTCATTATTCAACCTTCTACTTGATAGGTTGTACAGATTGTTCTTCAAGTCATTTGATGTGATAAAAATTTCAACAGTCTTGCAAATATTCTAGAGAGAATAGAGAAATTACTTCTTCATTTTTTTTACTTCTGCTAAAAATCCATCTGCTCTAGCCAAATATGTTCTTTTGGTATTTGCCTCAATGATGCAAGAGTTACAGCTCTTCCTCTTCTTTCCCTCTGTTATTCCTGGTCTTCGATGAACTTTCATTGTTGTTCATCTTGGGACTTCCCAGTCTAGTTCTAGGACCATTCTTTGATTTCCAGTTTGCAATATTTACTGACATGTATGAGAATAGCAGCTAGTTAGCCTTCCTTTTTCTTTTTTTTTTATTTTTTAATCTACAAAATATGATATAAAAACATTCATTAGAGTCAAATTACACTGATGCTTCTTTAGATGATGAGGAGAGCTGACTAATTTCTGCAGGGTGATGTTTGGAGTTGAAACTCAGCTTGGAAATGAAGATGAAAAGTAAGGAAAAAAGTTGTCCAAAGGCAGGTAACAAAGATGGTGAAGGGCCTTGAGGAGAAGCCGTGTGAGGAGCAGCTGAGGTCCCTTGGTGTGTTCAGCCTGGGGAAGAGGTGCCTGACCTCCCTGCAATTGCAGCTTCCTCGTGACAGGAGAGGAGGGGCAGGCACTGAGCTCTTCTCTGTGGTGACAGTGGGCCGGAACTGGACCCAGTGATCCTTATGGGTCTCTTCCAACTCGGCATATGCTGTGGTTCTCTAAAAAAGTGCCTATTGTGTAAATTGCTACAGTAATAATACCACAGGGAGAAAACCCTGGTTCTGTTTTTTAAGAGAAAATCTGAAAATATTATTATAGTTCAAGACAGATACTTAATTGTAAAAGTTAAAAAAAATTAACTGAATCAAATAACTGCTGTTCTAATTTCCCATTTTGTAACTTGCTCAAAGTCTTCCAGAGAAACATTGAATGAACTATCTAATCTGATCGTGAAGTATTTGATATAAAGTACAAGTCTGTAATTGCACCCCAGAAATAAAATATTTTTCAGGTAGCTTTCTGATATATAGGAAAATTCAGGAAGCATTTCAGAAATCTCTCAGTGTCCCCAGGAGAATAAAAATATGAAATAAAATAAATAAACAATGAAAAATAAAAATTGCTAAGTAAAAAATAATTTCAGTCTTACATGTTGAATTTTTATAATGATTTTACAATAGATGATCACCTAACAAGGTACTTTTAGAAAGTATGAATATCACTGCAAAATATAGGCTTCCAGGAAGGTTCAGCTAATATTCAAAAACATGCAATATCTTAGCCATTGTGTTACTAAAACAGGAAAAAGCATCAAATAATCCAGACAAACCAAATGTGTAGACATCATGATCAAATACTTCTGTTTAGTTTTTGTTTTGAGAATGATATTTCAGAACTTTTCTTGAATCGACCAGATAAAAGTAATTTTAAGATCATTTTCTTGATCTAGTGATTGATGAGTAATAATGATAGTTGCTGTCTTTACCAGTGAAGAGCACTGGTCTCAAAAAATAATATTAGGATCTAGAAGATGGAGATCCCCTCACATCTGTAAACTTTCCAGTCATCTGTAATGATTTTGACTCCATTTCTTGTAGACTAACTTAAAAAACATAAATACAATTTAAATAAAATAAAAATTAACATTCTTCATATGAAATTAAATAGAACTATTTAGCACCTGAAATACAAGATTGAGGCATAAACAGCAAGTAGGTCAAGATAAAAAGATGTGGTTATCATACATATTAAAGATGAAAGAGTGCTATTGGACACTAATGCAAATTTCATTTCAGGATATATGTATAGGAATGTAGAATGTAAATTACAGGAAATTATTATTGTACTGTGCATAGCAATAGTAAAGGATCAGCTGGAATACTGTGTTAAAGACTTCATTTTTCAAGATGAATATAATTGCTAAGAAAAAAACTGAAGGAGAACAAGAACCATAGAAAAGAAGACTGGAAGGGTGAAGGCATTTACGTGAGAAAAACTTGAGGGAGAGACAAAGTAAATTACTTTTAATAGGTAAATTATTGTTTTTGTTGCAAAGAAGAAATGATCTAATTGTTTGCATTTTTCAGGGGGTTAGAAATGTTTGCAGTAGAGCAAGTATTAAAATCAGTTAATGTTTTCATTATCAATTCATTCTAGATTGTATAGCACTTGAAAAGTATTTGAAGATGTCAGCATTTATAGATGGTCAGTTGTTCTGTTGTTGATAGATATGGTACAGAAAAGCTTGTTTAGTGTGAAGAAGCAATTTGTTAATTGAGAATGTGCAAGAATATTTCATATGGTCCCACTAAAAATCACATTAAGTCATTCAGCTGATTTTTAGAGGTGATAGCATCTTCTGAAATTCACATTCCTTGTAGTTTAGTGTGATAAAGTGTTTAGAGTAGTTTAGTGTTTAGTGTGATAAAGTAGATTTAGTGTGAAGTGTTTGGTGTATATCCAAAGAACTTTGGTCTTCTTTCGGTCTGGTTCCATGTTGAAACTGTTGTACAACCATACCTTCAGATTTACAACCTTAATTTCCCTTCTGGCTGTCAATGAGAATGAACAGGAGGGAAAGATGAACAGCAGCTTTCTTTCATTTTCTAGTTTTTTTTTTAAAACTTGTCTTGCAATAAGGCAATTCTGTAAAGTGTTCGGGGTTTAGAATTGGGCTGAATTTCATCTCTCAGTGATTTTGTCAGTCATATCTTCTTCCTATTTAAGATTTCTAAAAAATTGCTGGACAGACTCCCTTAATAATATGGTTCCATTATAGTGTATAAAGGATCTAAGACTCATCATTTCCATTTTCTTTCTAAGAGAGGAAATAGGGAGTACTGGGTCAATGCAGGTATTTTTTGAAATATAGATGGTCCCCTAACCTAACTGCTGATAAAGGTTCACTATACTGTAAGCTTTGATCCCAGTGCAGGAAAGAGAAGTGCCCAGCTAGTATGTTGCTCATTGCCCACTTCTTACAGTGTTCCAAGTCAGCATTTAATGCAGCCTTAAGCAATATATGTGTGCCAGCTGTAGTAGTATGAAGGTAAATCATGGTTTTTAAACAGGGAAGTGTTTTTAAATTCATGGGAAAACCTCTGCAGTGGGTTTCATTCCCTATTCAAAAGAAGAGTAATTATTTCATGCTTGTAAATAGTGTTCTGTGAGTACCTCCAGATGTCTGGCAGACTCCACCTGATAGCCTTTAAAGAACAGAAGACTAATCTTCAGTGGTTTATATGTCCTTCTTAAAGACTTCTATTTATAAGTTGCCATGGAATCCTCCCTAAGCTACATTTTTGTTTAAAAAATTAAAAACATCATCTTAAATTCCTTTTCAGTTTTAGCTATATAAAATTTTGTGATCAGGTTTTGAAATTGTCTTATGTACTCCTAAATTTAACCGATGAGATTGTTCATTCATTGGAATGAGAATGTTCATTCACAGGAATTATCAAAATCAGAAATGTTACTATATAAGGAATTGTTCTTCAGCTACCAGTTAAATATCAGTTGTTCAGGGAAACCAGACTGAAAAGTTCACTTAATGTGGAACATTCTGTATCAATCTCTGAATATTTTTTTTCTGAAATTGATGTCATTTCTTTTAGGCGACTAAATAACAACGAATTTTCAGTCCTGGAAGCTACTGGAATCTTTAAGAAACTTCCTCAGCTGCGTAAAATGTAAGTGGAACTTCAATGACCTTGTCTATTCAAATAGTGTATTAGCTCCTTGCTGTGTCTCTCCACCTTTCTTAGTTCTAATCTACAAAAGATTCAGTTTATTCCAATCGAAAATCAAGAATGGGTTTAAATTAATCCCTGAGGTAGGTCAGAGTTGGCAGCTCTCCTGCATGGGGCTTGGCACTGCCAGCAGCCACTTCTCATGGTGTATAGCTCCAGCACCTTCGCAGCAGCATCCAGCCAGCTGGTCTGTTATGCAGCCACAGCAGGGAGCTCACAGTATAAGCTGCTTAGAAAAGATTCCAGTAATCTTTTGTAACTTCCTGTATTACTCTCTAACCAGACAATTTTGCCTCTTTCAGCACATTAAGGACATGCCGTTGATTCTGTGCTTCATTAAACGGTCATTAGGTGAGGGGAATATCAAAATTTAAATGACTGAGAAAAAGTGGTTTGATAGGTCATCCATGTAAGTCCATGCTAACAGTTAATATTCTAAGAGTGGTTTATAATCTTACCAGTTGCAATTGTTGCTGAAAATAAGAGTATGTAAAGCTTTTCTTTAGCTTATGTAAAAGACATATTGTGGTAGATGATTTAGATAGACTTTGTGACTCTGTGCTCAATCATTTCAGGATTAAATCCAAACATAAATAGTAAGTGAAGAAAAATTCAAGTAAAAATAGATTAGTAGTCACCAAGTGACTACCAGTTGTAAAAGACTAGTATTAGTGATCAAAATCTTAAGGGAGAAATAGTATTGCTTCAAATATTGTTAGCCTTAACCAGATACTTGCTACCATGGTCACAATTAGTTATTACAGATTTTTTAGATTAAAATATTTTAAAAACCCCAACAATGTTAGATGAACTTGTTTGTGACTTCTCCACTTGAGTATACCTTATGACTTTGAACTGGGATGCAGTACTTAGAAAAAAGAATGTAGGATGTTTGGCACAACAGTGTTCTGCTGCTATAGAGTAGATATCCTGTTTTATTCAATCTTCAAGAATCTCAGATTAGCACTTTTTACAGCTACAGTTTACTTTGGAAATATCAAGTATCAATATGTGAAGCATCAGTGGACAAGAGAAGGGCTACAGGAGTCATTTATCAGAACTTCCAAAAAGCCTTTGATGTGCTCCACCCCCCAGCATCATTCTCTCTAAACTGGGAAGAGATGGATTTGATGGGTGGACTTAGATAGATAAGAAATTTTCTGAACAGCAGCATCCAGAGGGTAATGGTCAGTGGGCCCTTAAGCATCTGTATTTAATGTCCTCATTGATATATAGTGAAAGTTGTCCCTGCCTACAGCAGAGGAACTAGATAACGTTTAAGGTCCTTTCCAATCCAAGACATTCTGTGTGGCAGGATTCTATGAAATAAATAAAATACTTGATGTATCATACAGAATACATGCAGATGCACACACACACATTTATACATATATGAAATCTTCATGTTTAACAATATTCCTTTTAAGTTGAGGAGGTGTTCAAGACAAAAGGAAAAAAAAAAAAGGATGAATATTAATCAATCTTCTTGTAGCTGTTTGTTGGAACTCCCAAAGGCTTTAAAATCTGGTTAATTGAAAAGGGAAAAGAATGGAAAAAAAAAATGAAGAATTAACTATTTTAATAATACTGCACCATAACTTCCTAATAGTTATCAGTTGTTACAACATTCTTCTTTGATAGAGTAATACAGTGACTGTTAAAGCATCACTGGAAAGAAGTGAAGTACTGATGTTGCAGAGACACCAATATGAGTGAATATATATTTCTGTGAAGCTCCTATTTCTGCTGGAGTTTCAAAATAGTGCAAAGATTTTTCTGCACAGATGACATTGAAAAATGGAGGCCTAAATGTTTCATTGATCTGATGCTTCATCAGTAATAAAGCATGTGTATGCACTGCAACATTGATTAGCTATGCAACATTAATCTTTAAAATATCTGTGTGAAGTGGGTGAAGTAGTATCCATGTTACAGCAAGAACAAAAATGGTTTTAAGAAACGGGGCTTGACATGGAAAAGCCATCTGAGATTAGAAATAACAAGTTTCTTACTTCCAGTCTTCCACAGCACCTTGTAGACTGAACAGCTCCATTGTGAAAATAAATGAAAGTGGTGATTGTGGATATTGTGTACTTAGACTTTAGCTAAATCTGTGACACCATTTCCCACAGCGTTCTCCTGGATAAACTGGCTGTTCATGGCTTGGACAGACATAATACTTCACTGGATAAAAGAATGGCTGGATGGTTGAACCCAGAGGGTGGTGAATGAACTGAAATCCAGTTGGCAGACAGTCACAAGTGATGTTCCCTAGGGCTCAGTATCAGTTGTGTTTGATGTGTATATTGATGATCTGGAGGAGAGGATTAGCTCACTCTCCACAAGTTTGCAAATGACACCATGTTGGGTGGGAGTGTTGATCTGCTGGAGGGTAGGAAGGCTCTGCAGAGGGATCTGGACTGCCTGGGCCAAGGCCAATGGTATGAGATTCAGCAAGTCCAGGTGCCAGGTCCTGCATTGTCACAACATCCCCATGAAGTGCTCAGACTTGGGGAAGAGTGGCTAGAAAGCTGCCCAATAGAAAAGGACCTGGGGATGCTGGTTGACAGCCAGGTGAACATGAACCAGTGTGTGCCCAGGTGGGAAAGAAGGCAAATGGCACCTGGCCTGTAGCAGCAATAGTGTGGCCAGCCAGACCAGAGCAGTGATTGTCCCTCAGTGCTTCTCTTTGATGAGGCCACATCTTGAGCAGCTTGTTCAGTTTTTGGTTCCTCTCTATCAAAAAGACATTGAGGTGCTGGAGAGAATCCAGAGAAGGGTAACAAAGCTGCTGCTGGAGGGTACGCAGCCCAAATGTGATGAGGAGCAGCTAAGGAAATGGGTTGTTTAGCCTGGAGAAAGGAAAGGTCAGTGGGGGGGGACCTTATCGCTCTTTACACCTATCTGCAAGGAGGTTGTAGTGAGGGGGGGCTTGTCCTTTTCTCGCATGTGACAAGGTGGCAAGTGACAAGATGAGAGGAAATGATACCAAATTGCAGCAGAGGAGGTTCAGTTTGGTTTCTCCATGGAAAGGGCTGCCAAGCAGTGGAACAGGCCACCAGGGAATAACACAGGTGGTGCTGCCATCCCTGGAGAAATTTAAAACACTTCGGGGTACATTTTTGTAATGCACTTTGCAGTACTGGATTAGATGCTTGGAGTTGATATTAAAGGTCCTGTCCAACCTAACTGATGACATGATTGTATCCTTCATCACAGACAAGGTGTAGGTTGTATTTCAGCTAGGCTGGAGAGAGCAGTCAGCGCTGAAGATTAAGCAACAACGTCCTGGGTTATTATCTAACAAATATCTTTCTTGTTTTGAATTATTGAAACACCGTTCTAGAAATTGCATCAAGTAATGTTTGATTTTCTTCCCATCACCATAAATGCCATCAAATAGTCTTTAGCTTTACTTCCATTCACTTTGTCTCAGAGAGTTTTTAAGATCTTTTTTAAATCACTAATGTATTATAACATTGCTTAATGTGTAGCTATGTACTTACGTAATATATGTAAATAATGATATTAAATAAACATAACAAAAGGATACTAATATGAAAAATATTTAAGAAAATGTGTGCTGTTGCATATGTTTGTTTTTGTGTATATATAGTAGAGATTCTGCCCATTTGGGATGTAATTTCTGTATTTCAACTAAAATCATAAACACTAAGTATTTTGGCAATATTTTAGGTCATTTTCCCCACATTTTGATCCACTTTGCAGGCATATTGTAGATACATGAACTATATTGCCTATAAACCCTCCTCTCTAACTAATGTCATAAATTTTTAACTTTTCTTGTACTGTTTATATTCACACATTTCCTTTACATATGTTGCTGTTTATACTGTTTTCTTATATTTATCTATTAAGATAGAATAAATCAGAGAGGTTAGTTGTGCTGTACTCATACAGTATAATTTTATTATTAATTCATCTAAAAATGCTACAAAGGCTGCAGACCTGAAAAAATATAGTTACTGATAAGATTCAAAATTAAGAAAATATGATCTTGTATGGCAGCAGCATAGATTGGGTAATTGCCATTATTTAAAAAACATCTTCCAAAGATTACTTTAAAAATATTTTCTTCTTTAATTAGAAGACCATTGAATTTTTCTGTACTGGTTTGAAGTTGGATGATGTATTTATATTTTTTGCTTTTACACAACAACTTGGCTATTGCATGAAGATTGTGTTTGATGATTTTGGAGGTCTTTTCCAAACCTAGTGGAAAACTAAGATTCTAAGCCTTGGAATTTATTCAGTCTGCAGCATATAACAGTTAATTTAGGACATCTATAAAAGAAAACCCCCTCAGTTCTTATCTGTTTCTGTTAATATGTAATAGAAACTTGAGCAATAACAAGATTACAGATATAGAAGAAGGAGCATTTGATGGAGCCTCTGGTGTGAATGAACTACTGCTCACAAGCAACCGCTTGGAAAGTGTTCAACACAAAATGTTCAAAGGACTAGAAAGTCTCAAAACACTGTAAGTATATTTATTTGAGTGTTTTTCTTATTCTTTTCTCACAGGTATTTTTGAGAATAATATTTTATTCTCAAATTCTCAAAAAATATTTTTGAGAACTAGCTATGGATTATTCAAAATAATTTTAGTTTTTATTCCTATTTTACTAGAAGCTATATATTATATTAATTTATTAGTTATTAATTATGGGTATAATGAGTCTTCTAAAGGAATGAAGCAGTTGAGAATGGGTAAACATACAACTTCAGAAATGGAAATGGAAATAATCATCAAAGGAACAGAATTTTGCACGGGAATTACACATTTTACATAATGGAGTCTGATTCATTTCAGCTCAACCATTACCGGGAATTTTGCTGGAGGAAGAAATTGTTCTGGTGTGTATTGAAATGTGGGAAATGATTCTTGCCTAAGTAATTTTTTTGTCATTTCATAAGTGAAGGCAAGATTAAAAGCACTATAGCTTGAATTAATTTCATTCTTTCCATGAAGCAGTTTAGTTTTTCCACTCAAAAAAAATGTTTATACCATCTACAGCATCTTGGCCTTCTTTAGCGAGCCTGTCCTTCTAATCTGCAGACCAGAGCCAAGATTAAATGGTCTTTGGGGTTTCAGCTGTCCATAGACGTTAGGTATTTTAAATAAATCATGTCTACAGTTTCTAACCTTGCAGTTAAAGCTGCTAAAATTATTTAAAGCAGCTAGTCCTAGACAAGAGCATGGGGGGAAATTACCATCTTTTGGTGGACAGAGAAGAGAACATCAGACTTCAAAGGTCTTAAGTTTTATAGAAATTTGAGACATTTTAGAATAGCTTAGGTTTCTGAAATTTGTACTTAGAGTCATGCTGAGGAGGAATGCTGATTTTGTTTGAATGAAATGCTTTTGAATGCAGTAGAAGTGGTTTCTAGAATTTGTCCTAAGAAAAATGAAGTAAAAGGGACCTCAAGAGGAGGTAAGCTGGTGCAAGCCTCTGCTCTATGTAAATAGCAATTCTGGAGTCATCAGCCTTGGGCACATGAAGAGAGGGCTGCTGTGTTTCTCTGATTTGGGGAATTTCAATCAGTTTAATTTCTTGTCAATTGAAAATTCATAATTACTACTTCTGATTTTGAAAGAAAAAGAAAAAAACCCAAACGCTTAGGGGAAACTGGAGCAGATTGCCCAAAGAGGTTGTGGGGTCTCATCTGGAGGTACTCAGAAGCCACCTGGACACAATCCTGAGTAACTCTGTAGAGAAAAGCTCTAGGAAACCCTGTTTGAGCAGGGTTGGACCAGATGACCTCCAGTGGTCCTTTCTAAACTTACCCCTTCTGTGATTCTGTGGAATCCTCTGTGAAACCTACCCACCCACCTGCTTTTGTCCTCCAGCCTGCTCCACACACACTGCTCCCAGTCTCTTCAGTGAGGTGTCAGGCAGCACAGGGGTCACTGCACTGATGGTCCCTTCACTGGCAGCAGCCCCTTTGGAATCGTAACTCTTGGCCCTCACTCCAGCAGCCACTTCAGCCCTGGTCCCTACCTAAGCCGAAAAATGCTGATCCTTCTTTCTCAGGATGCTGAGGAGCAACAGGGTGAGCTGTGTGGGAAATGACAGCTTCACAGGGCTGAGCTCTGTCCGCCTGCTCTCGCTGTATGACAACCAGATCACCACCGTGGCACCCGGCTCCTTCGACACGCTGCATTCACTCTCTACTCTGTAAGTCGCCTTCATCTTTTATCTCCACCATATTTAAATCTCTGACCTTTGGGAGGTATTTGCCTTAATACTTAGATGTGTAATTTCACAGCACTTAGTAAAGTTCAGGGATACAAGGATTTCATAGAGGCAGTTTTGAGAAATTTTGTTTTCTGGACCATCTTGGGCACATGAAGAGTATGTTGTCATGGTGCCTTTTGATACAGCATTAGACTGGTTTCCAGAAGTGTCTGAGAATGCAGGAAAGACATCCTGCTCACTCCCCTTGTGGAAGCCCACTGATACAAACCAGGGTGGAAAGCCATATTTAGGATAGGCAGCACATAATCACAGCTGGTTAGATTACCATGTTGTCTGTCCTTCTGCCCTGTGCCACCCAATTACTAGCTTAAATTTCCTTGGCCTCCTGAGAATCTTAATTCATAGGTGTTTTATATGGAAGCTTCAGTCTCATTTTCTGTTAAAAGAGGTGTTATGAATGCACTCAAGAGAGTGATATGGTAAAAAAAATTTTATTAATTACAGCAAGCAAGCAATAAGCAAAAATCAGCGCTGGGCATCAGGGGAGTCTCTGCTCCATCGGCTGCCGCGCTTCCGATTTCCGTGTCTTCCCTTTTAAGTGGTCCGACTTCCGGGTTACGTGTCCTTTCTCGGGTGTCTCTGCACATGTGCCTCCGGTCACTGGTGGTCGCTTTTTGCCTTCTGGTGGTCGTAGGATGAAGATCAGGAGTCTTCCTCTTTTGACCTTTCCTCACTGTTCTCCTTTTAAGGCTTATCTGAGTGGCTTAACTTTCTGGAATTCAAGAGAGCTTGCAAGGCTGTTCTTATAATTATACAGGCGTCAGCAGCAGCCTTCAACCTCATCCCTATTACACAAAGCATAGTTTTGCAAAGCATCGTATCTTACATGTTTAGGCGAACAAAAGGGTTTCTATTTACCACAGAGGCATCCTTTTTTAATTTGAATGTGATGTAATTTAAGGGAAGTGAAAAAATTAAGCAAAGCTGCCACTCAGTTTTACTGAAGAAGTGCTGGTTGTAGGTAGCATCATTCAGGAAAATACTTAATCCCCCTGTTACATGAAAAGTGACACTTTGCACCCAGTTACTAATTTTGCATATTAAGGATGTCATGTTTATAAATAATGGAATTGCCAATATGTTTGTGCTGAAATAAGGAGATGCCAAAAGTACTGAGGCGGTTAGAAGTAAATTCATTTTTGTAACTGGCATGTAATCAGCTTAGCTGTCACTTCAGATAGGAAACTTATTCTCTGGAGCAAATAAAAGATGGAAATCATGAGATGATAAATTAGTGGAATACATGTTGTCAGGTTAAAGCTACTAATGTAAAGTAATCAGCCTCCATCTCTATATAAAATTATTGCATTATTGGTACAGAGTGGCTTGACATGAAGTCAGGTCTTTGACAGTTTTAAATTATTTCTAAACAAGTTGTATCAAGCTTCACCACACAGAGCCTAAATTATACGTTTCACCTATGGGTTACACACAGTATTATTTGAGAAACAGCGTTTAAGGTACACTTTTTTGAAAATAGAAATAGAGCATGAGAGGATGGTGTCATCTGAGATAAACTTTCCTGTGGTTCTCAGAAACCTCTTGGCCAATCCCTTCAACTGCAACTGCCATCTTGCCTGGCTTGGAGACTGGCTAAGGAAGAAACGCATTGTGACAGGGAACCCTCGCTGCCAAAAACCTTACTTCCTCAAAGAGATTCCTATCCAGGATGTGGCCATTCAGGATTTTACATGTGATGATGGTAAGGAAATTAATATTGAACCCTTCATAATTTCAACTTTCACATATATATTCTGCATGGCTCCCACAGATCCCAGAGTTTTGCACTTTAAAGGCCTTCATGCTCAGTTTCTGTGTCAGTTTAAAAATTTTCCACCCATTTCTGGATGATCAGCAAGCACAGGCTGTTGTATATGTGCCTTCAAAAGTTTTTCTTGCCTATCTTCAGTACTGTAATTAATAATTTAGAAATAGCATAAAAAAATTGATCAAATGTTATAGTACAGATGAGAGTATTTTCAAACACCGATGCTTGAATCAAGCACACTTTCAGGTTACTTGATCAAATAACATGATACGTTACAGCTTGTGGCTTCATTAACTCTTAATTAAAAGAAATGCTACTATCTTGCATCTCTCACACATACCTCCATTTACTGCATTATTGGTTTTTAAATTTTCAAAGCTGTATCTTTTTTCTAAAGAGATTTTTTATTACTTCTTTAAGTTTATTGTCTTTCATTTCAGGATTTATTCTTTCTTTACTGATTTTTTTTCCATATAATGGAACTCTTACCTAGTAAAACAGGATTGTACTAAGTAAAGCATCACCTAAATGTAAATTCTTGGAGTAATGGTTTACATAGATGATGTAATTTTATCCCTATCTTGAGATACTATAATGCAGAGATATCACATTGGCTTGAAGAAAGTCTAGGTGGGCTATTATTGCTAATACTGAAGAGACATTTATTAGTAGCAATCTTAGCGTCTGGGTTTTTTTATTAACCAGGAAATGATGACAATAGCTGCTCTCCCCTGGCCCGCTGCCCTGCAGAATGTACTTGTCTGGACACAGTCGTTCGCTGCAGCAACAAAGGTCTAAAAGCTTTGCCTAAAGGCATCCCAAAAGATGTGACTGAACTGTAAGTGGCATGCTTTTTTTTCCCTTTTATGAAAATTAATGTCAGATTTTTTTATTGTCAGAGTCAAGAATGAGGGGAAAAGAAAATGAAGAATTGAATTTAGTAGATGAGTTGGAATTTGTTAATCCACTGCTTTATAAAGAATTTCACATTATCTTGAGGAAATGGAGGTTAAGTTTGAACTAGCAATGCTTTGTAAGTCCAAAACCACTCTTAAGGACTATCTGCTACTGAAAAGCTTTAAAAATATATGTATATAAAATTGTAATCACTCTCAGATTTTATATCCCCCAGCACTGAACTGTTGTATAATGGCATGGATATCATGTTACAGTGGGTTAATTTAAAAGCAACAGTGAATCTGATTAATCTCTGGTCACTGGTTAGAAAGGAATGAATTTCTATTACATGAAGAACCAAAAGGAAAGCAATAATATAAATATGTTTTCATAATGAACACGTTTTTTATGCCTCTAAATCAATACTTTTTACCCGTAAATCAAGCACCTTAATCCTCTAAATCAATGGCCTTCATCTGTGTTGAGTTAAAAACCCGGACAATGGCTTTCTGGTACTAAGGGAGTGAACTAGGAAAGCTGCTCTCCTGGATTTGTTGCATGTTAATAAGAGGGTCTTGTGAGTAAAGTAGCACCTGGTGTCTGTCTTGGCCACAGTGGTCATAAAGCAGTCGAGTTTAAAATCTCTACTGACAGGAGGAAAAGTGCCAGCAAAACTTCAACTCTGGATATGAGAGCAGACTTCAGGCTGCTCACAGAACTAGTAAGACCTCCATGGGAAATGCTTTGGAAGGTACTTAGGTGCATCAGTGCTGATCACTTTTTAAGTACCACCTGTTAAGAGCTAAAGAGCAAGATATTCAAAAATGTCAGAAGCCAAGCAGGTGAGGCAGAAGGCCAGCTCTGCTAGGCAGGTGTCTTCTGGAACTAAGGCAAAAATGAAAAGTGTACATCCAGTGGAAACAAGGTTGAGTGACATGGGAAGAATATAGAGGTGCTGCTCATCACTGTAGGAAGAAAATTAGCCCAATTAGAGCTGAGGCTGGCCAGTACTGCTGGGGAAAATAGAAAGAGATTTTAAATTTTCTTAATAGCAAAATGCAGCCCAGAGATAACACTGGTCCATTTTTCAATGAATATGGTCATCTCACAAACAGGGACATAGACAAAGCAGGGATGTTTAATGCTTCTTCACTTCAATACCAGTGGTCAGCTCTGAGGGTCCCAATGCCCTGAGCTGGAGGGCCATGACTGTGAGAATTATTAACTTCCAGCTAACCCCAGACTTGCTCCTGATGGCTTTCTCTAAG